TACGGTAATAATATAATGTATTGTGTGTGTGTGTGTGTGTGTGTGTGTGTGTGTGTGTATATATATATATATATATATATATATATATATATATATATATATATAGAGTGTAAGCCGCTCTGAGTCCCCTTCGGGGTGAGAAGGATGGCATATAAACATCATAAATAAATAAATAACATAAATAAATAACATAAATGAGGAAAAAGAATGAGAATGTAGCCTGGAAAAACTAGAGGGAGGGTGGGAAGGGGAGAAGAACAAGGAAAGCAACCTGCCTCTATTGAGGAGCCAATGTGAAATCAATGGCAAGAATTTTCTATCTCATTATCCCTCTGTTACCCAAATCAGAGAAAGAAAGGAAGCTCTTTCTTCATCCCTGATTTTGTTTTTTGGCTTAAGTGAAAATCAGCAGTGATGTGTGTGTGCATTTAGGTTGCTTGGCACTGAGCGGAAGGACTACCTGCATAACCTGCTCCGGAGAGAGCATATTAAAATGGCCACAATAATATCTCTATAGAGAAGCCAATGAAGAAAGCCCTTATTAAAATGGCCACTGCTGCTCTGCTCCATCTCAAGCACCTAAAATGGCAGGTGCACCATATTCTCCCACACGTTGCTGATAAACACTGCTCAGGTTGGAAAAAAAGTGGGAAAGGAGGGAGGGCTGTTATCATGTAGCATGTTACCAGCTGTTGCTGAGTTTTAGTAAGCTGCGGTCTGCCAGTGGTTCCCAACCTTTGGTCCTTCAGGTGTTTTGGACTGCAGCTCCCACAATTCCTAACAGCTGGTAAGCTGACTGGGATTTCTGGGAGTTGAAGTATAAAACAACTGGAGGACCAACCATTGGGAACCACCGGTCTAAACTAAAGTGTATTGAGTTCAGATGAAATGGGAAATGTCTGGGTGGCCCCAAAGTTGAAAATCTCCCATCTGCTCTTGTATGTAGAGGAAAGAGGAAGGGGAGCAATGCAGATCTAAGTGTCATCCTGTTCACACTGATGCTTACAAATCATAGTTCGACTTTACATCTCTGTTTAGCCTTAGCGGCAGAAGTGTAGGCAGATTTGTATAATAGGAACACTTGAATACACACAGCTGATGTTTATTTCCATTCTGTAAATAGCATCACATACTCATTTCTGCCAATGGTTATGCAAGACTGTAAGGTTTTGTTTGTTTGGGATGTCATACAATGCTGAGAAAAATAAAGGGGAAAAGGAGGGAAAAGAGAAGAACATTGATGCAAAAAAGACAGAAAAGCAACAGAGGGAATAGCAGATATGTGAATGCAAACCAACAAAACAAATAGGCAGTGATAGTTGGAAACAAACAACACTTCAAATGCCAATGCACAGACTTTGGGAAACAAACAAGTTGAGCTTGAAATCCTACTGCAGAAAGATAAATGACTTTATGGGCATAAGAGAAAGCTGGTGGGATAACGCTAATGATTGGAATATTACATTGAAGGCAATAATTTATTTTAAAAAACAGATTGGGCAGAAAGAAAGGGAAGTACCCTCATATGTCAAAGACAAATTCAGCTGCATAGAAATCCATGGGAATGACTAAAGGGGATCAGGTGAGAGCATTTGGGTAAAAATAAATGGAGAAATGCATCGCAATTTCAAAACCTCACAACCTCTGAGGATGCCTTCCATAGATGTGGGTGAAATGTCAGGACAGAATGCTTCTAGAACATGGCCATACACCCCGGAAACTCACAGCAACCCATTGGAGAAATAAATACATGTAACAGTGTGGTAGGTGGGTTGTTGTAGGTTTTTTGGGTTGTATGGCCATGTTCTAGAAGCATTCACTCCAGACGTTTCGCCTGCATCTGTGGCAGGCATCCTGAGAGGAACATGGCCATACATCCCAAAAAACGTACAACAACCCAGTGATTCCGGCCATGAAACCCTTTGGCAATGCAGTGTGGTAGGTGTTTGCTAAAGGCCATCAAACAAGAACAAAAAGACCATCAAACAAGAACAAAAAAGGAGACGACAATTCTCCTCCATGAGGTAAATCCTGGAAATCCTTATTCTCATTATTGGGGTGGGTAGTATACACTATTATCTGGAAGAAGCAACCTTTCAAAAAGCCATAAACTATGCTGATGGTTGAAATCAGCATAATACTTGAACATGATGGGCACTTTAGCAGTATCTTAGTCATACTAATGCATTATAATGGCCATGTGAACATAAAGTAGATGTTTTACTTTGTGCCTTTAAAGCAGCGGTTCCCAACATGTGGTCTGTGGACCACCAGTGATCCACAAGAACTAAAATATGGTCTGTAGCCTCACCATTACTACACCGTTGTAACAAGTGCGACTGGTCTTGCAAAACCCTCTTATAGTCCCGAGGCTTATTAAATATGGTTTTCTGTGGGTGAGCAGATGGCGACTCAGGGATGGCATATGTTCTGTATCACAAACTAGAGCTGATGTGGTCTATCCAATGTTATTTTCTTAATCAGCACCCCAAATAACCAAACTGAGTCTCAAGTTGACCAAAAACTGATTTGTAATCCTTTTGGTATTAATGTTGGAGAGTGGTCCCTGGTCAAAAAAAGGTTGGGAACCACTGCTCTAAAGAATACAGCATAAGCAGCTACTCTTGCCTTAATTTTTTCTAATAGTCATTTGAAAATCTATTTTGTTTGTTTAGCTATGTGGAGAAAAATAATGAGTTCTAATGTTTTTTTCCCCCAAAAGTGCTATTAATTTTCATATGCCAAAATGGGTGCCAATGAAAGGAAGGATAATTTGATGGTCACTGGCTGGGAGGACTTTGGATATGAAGATCTGCAGTTCCAAAACTTTATAGCCAAAGGAAATGTTTTTTTTTTTCTGATCATGAACTGTGCCACACATCTTTTGCCAATTGTGTACAATATTGAAACTGGGAACACTTTGAGAATGAAAGCAATAGCATGCACAAATCAATTCTTATAGCATAGGATCCATTTTTCACAAATACAAGATATAACAAGAGAGAGAGAGATGTTCCTTTGATTGGGTCAAAACCAGTCCTAGTGAAATATATTGATGGAAACATGAGGAAAATATTTTGTAACTAATTGTTTCCCTCCAATCCTGTTGAAACCATTAATAAAAGAACTTAAAACCTTCAGCACTATTGTTATAAAATACTTTTTAAAATTCCATGTGTAAAAAATAATAATGTTCACAATATCACCAAGAAGCTAACCTTTCCCAAAAATAAATAATAATTACTTATCTGCAAGTAATGAAATCGATGCTATTATTATCATCAGTACTGTTTGTTTTCATGCAATGGAAAATAGCACTTGAAGGAACATAACTAAAATTGCAATGAGAAAACTTCATTTTATACTGAATTTATATTTTAAAATCACCTTTTATTATTGTACGACATATATACTGTATTTGTGTGGCACATTTTAGTGAACGGATGAGCTGCAGGGATGAAAAAATACAGAGAAGACCAGCATTGTTCCAGTAATACAAATGGCCAAGGCATTTGTTCTTTTGCTTTTATTTTTGTACTGAGCCTATGGGTCTATTGTTGATTGCGATCCATATTTTGTCTCAACTCCTTCTGAAGTCGAGAATGTGAAAAGAAAATGGCTTCCCTGCTGCAAAATAGCTTTGTAGGAAGACGTCATCCTACTGCAGGGGAAGTAACCATGTTTTAAGAAACCATATGAAATGAGAACTAACATTGTGCAGGACATTAAATTGTACCCTTTATTCCAAGGTCTGATTTCTATAGATAGTATTAGAAATGTCTAGTGAGCTGCTTTTGACTAAATGTCATATTTTGAACTTGCATTAGTGTTACAAGAAAACGTAAATTTGATCATCTCCTCCCTCTCCTGATATCATTTTAATAGACTTGGCTTTGCTAATAGTTTTGTTTAATAGGTTGGCTTTGCTAGTAGCTTTGTTCAATTCCATCTGCTACATTTACCAATTACTGTCAAATGAAACATTGCTTGAATTAAAGGTTTAAAAACATTAATATTTCCAATTGTCCTTACTTTTTAATTATACATGTACATTTTTTTAAAATTATTGTTCCGAATACACATATATTATGTGTGTGTCACTATGAACTATGACATGCAGCAGGATTAAATTGGTAACAAAGATATATAGTGGAGAGAAAGAGGTTTCAGCTACGTACGATGCTAAAATCTCACTTCATGCAAGGAGATATCGTCACCCAGAAATATAACTTGAGATCGTTTGTAATGTGGAATTAATAAGTACCTTTGCATCCCTGTCATTGCATCTTTTAATATGATTTGGTTGCCAAGGAAACAGGCTTTGGCCCAATGTTAATATGAAAAAATACAATTCTATGCAATAATGATTTTTTTTAAAAAACGTGCATTTAGACTGTTGTATTGATACATGCCTAGTTTTTATATGCTGTATCCTTATTCATATTCAGTTCAAGGTGACAAGGATACTTTTAGGTGTTCCTTTCTTTTAAGTACTTGACGTTTTAATCTCTTTCCCCTTCTCTAATACATGCTTACTTAATGTCAGCAATCTGTATAAGAGGATGGCAAAGGTTAAATAATTTTGTATAATCAATGCCAAAAGACCGTTTCCTATGACAAAATTTTAATATTTTTATAACCATATCCATATTTTCCGATTTTGCGTCTTAGCGAACAAACTCTTCTTCATTTTCGCATTTTGTGTCAAATATGTCCTATAGTACATTGGGCTTTAAAAAATATTCTTTGTGGAATAAGCGGTGCCACGCCTTGGTTTTCTAGCAGAGAGAGCATTTTAAAGTTCACAATAGAGGTTGAAAAAACATAAGCAAGACCTACTCTCAAATCAATAGGTACAGCTGCAGAATTTATAATGGGGTCTTTAAATAAAATAAACCTGTTTAACACAGCTCTAGCTACATGTCTATTTTTAATTTCCTATCTTTGTATCATGGAACGAGAATCAGAGGGGGAAAAAAACATGCATTCTCTCCACCTACCTGTATATATGCCTTAATGAAGTCTTAGCATGATATTCCAGCCAGCCATTTGTATTTAAAACGATGGAAAGACACTGAAATCTTGGTCGTCCCCAAAAATAACCAAACCCCTCAGATGCAATCTTGAAAATCAGCTTGCTTGAACGGACTGTGATCAAGATAGCTGAACTTATCAATGGGAAAGAGAAAATGTGGCAAAGGAGGGGGCGAGCAGGACCTGTCCTCGTCCAAGGTGGGTTTTCCTAAGCTGCAGCTCAAGTGTTTTCTTTTTCCTTCTGTGTAGGTTCAAGGCTCCAAGATGACCACCGCAAAGGCCAGCCTGTCACATTTGCTGGAAATTAGTCTACTGCTACCCTTCCTAGGGAAAAAAAACCCTCTCAGCAACCAAAGCCCCAATGCACAAGATGCACACTGACTGCGTAAGAGTTAAAAATAGATTGGACGTCCCTGCATAATAAATATGTCAGTTTCAAGGGATTTAATTTGATATTGCCATTAATTAACAATACAACATACATTATTTAAATAGCAGTAAAGGCAAGTGGGAAGAATGTCAAAACCTGCAGTGAGAGTCCGCTTATATCCTTAATATATTTTTTTGGAAAAAAAAGGAAAATAGAGCAAGTACAGGTTTCAAAATGCAATGACTAACGTAATCCGCCTTTAAAAAATTGAAATACAATTCTAAAGGTGGCTGCTTAAACAGCTTTGCTCATCAGGAAACGCAAGTCTTCATTCAGTGCAGTATGCAATGGCACACAGACCATTTCCACGCTCCCATCAGAAATCCTAGGCATGGTATAATGAATTCTGTATCTAGCTACCGCAGGCACACAGCACAGGCAGCATTCAACCTGCCTGCCTGCCATTTTAGGCTTGCGGCAGGATGAGAGACACGACATCAGCACATATCTGCTACGAGGAACAGCAAGGGACAGCTCACCTTAAACGCGGTAGTATCAGAATCTGATTAATGTTGTTAAGTGACATTGCAAATCAGCTACCAGCTCCTAAAGCTACTGCATGGGAACAAAGGGGGGGAAAGTGATCTACTAATGATGCAAGATGAATTGCTACTGTGCTGTGTTCAGCGAAGCTGTGTGTTCGTCAGTGATACTCTCTGAAGGATTTCAGATTCTGTCGCAAAAGCTGTGTGCAGAACGACCGTCTCCTTCTATCAAGACAAGCAGAAGGCGCCTTTTACCTGCTGGAGGGAGGGATGAAAAGACTGTTGGCTGCAAGATCCTCTTGATGACAGAAAATGTCATATAGTACGTATCAGGTCCTAGATATGTGACGCTATGGCTGTGTTTTCTTTATTTTCTGAACCGTTTGCTTCTACTGCTATTTGCTTGAGTTGCTGTTCTTTTCTAAACCACAATGGCTTAAAATCTAATTCTGAACTATATTATATTACTGGATTATATATATATATCTGAGCATATTGACAAAATCACAAGTGCAGAGGGTCTGGCTTGCTGCAGAATCAGCTGTCTGCATCTGTGCTGCACCATGCTTAACCACAAGCTAAATATATCTGCCAGGCATAAACGGAAGCTATTTTGCTGTACACAGATTACGTTACAAAATGCTCATCCATCCTTAAGCGCTCACAAGATGACTGCCTATTAGAAAATGTCGTGCCGCAATCCCCTGCATTGCTCTATGGACAGACGCAGCACTGAAAGACCCTACAGACGGCTCCTAAACATAGTGACCTAAATAATGCTAAGATGACTTAAGTCGCACACATACGCTCCTCAATCTCTGAGCAGTGAAATGAAACAAGGTCGGTCTAATCAGACTAAAAGCACAGACTCTGCTATAGTATGAATTCCAGATTTGTATCTTATGGTAGGAACAAAGTGCAGGATTTCTTTCTTTCTTTCTTTTGCTATTGTGTTGTTGTTTTTTTCCCCTCGGAGGGTTTTTTCTCAGCTATGGTTGCAGTTTCATTCTGACATCATGGAGGTTGAGGCAGCCACTGAAGTATGGTTTTAATCATTCACACGCGAAAAAACCTGATTAAAATACAAAATTTCACCTTAAGCAACACCAAAGGTAAACATGTGTGTATGACTTTCCTTGTAACAGCAATTCTTCTTACTTTTGAGATAAATAGGTTTTTTTTGTTCCGCTGCATAAAAGAAATCGCCAGCATTTAATGCGGATGATAAAGAAGGACAATTGTAGAAATTAGACTAAAATAAAAAGGAAACAGGATTACTATAATAAAAATAATTTTTAGGAAGTGAGGGGGAGTCATCCACATTCCTAAAATAAACTTAAATTGCATTGAAGGTGTAATACTGAGAAAAGAGATTAAATATGGTTTCAAATGCATTGAATGTGACCCTTTTTGCTTCCTATTCAATGCCAGCATTTCCCCAAGGAGGGATATTAAAGAGGAATAGAACAGCTTGCTCTGATCAAGGCTGCATTCCTATAAGACTGAAGTGTTGGTTAAAATAGAAAACAAGATCCAAAATAATCCTACCTGGTTATACAATGGTCAAATCTTTTCTTTCTACAATACGCCACTGTTGTTGTTCTCTGCATCCTCTTCCCTCCATGACCAACACACAGAAATTGAGATCTGATGAGATTTTGCAAAACAGCTCAAATATTTCTAATTCACTTCTTTGTGTTTTCTGCAAATCCTTGTAATCATACATTATACACTCATATAATATGCTCTGCTATGTGGCTGATTAATTTAATGAAAACGTGGTTTCACTACAAATTGTTGTCTCTCCAAAGGAATCCTCAACAATAAATATGGCTGCATCTTCAATACATTTATTTCTTAGTTCTAAGTAAACACAGCCAGTAGTTTGGGATATTATTAAGAAAAATTCCACTCAAATAACAGAGTGCTGTATAAGTGCCTAACATAATGCCAACCACAATATTTGCCAAATTTCAATTCCATTTTTATAATGTGTTGAATAGTGAATTGCATCTCAATACAGTACGTTCTTATTCAGATACTAGAGGGTTTATTCCCAAGCAAATATACTATGTTCCAACCAAGTAGACATGTATAATACTGTAATTATCTTTTGTCTTTTTTTAATCTCCCTGCTTTTATACACTGCTTTATTTCTGAATATCAAAGACCCATCAAATTGAAGATTTTAATAAAATTTAGCATCTCTTTCCAAAAGCATGACAACAGCCAAATGGCAATGGAGGAAATTCATAAATTACAAGGGCTGGGCTCATAGTCAGGTATGACTCACCCATATTATTGCAAAAGAAGCATTCTTTTCCTGAGGCCATGGTGATACCCACAGCTTTACTGCAATATATGTAGTTAATATTTTGAAACTAGGAATCATGTTCCATGACAAAATTTCTGATGACAGGAATGAACTTGGATTTTATAATCTCATCAGAATAGTAGGGTTGACATGTGCTTATACCAATGCATGACTGCACTATTGTATGTTTGTAGCAGTGAAAGTCACATATTCATACCTCTTTCTCTCTGATCCACTCACCACCCATAACTACTATTGTATCTTTGATGACTGGTGAAATAATAACTTGGTTTGTGGGAGAATCAAGATTATGAACACAAATTGTATCCACTTTAGGAAAATAAAAAGGTATTTAAAGCTTCTATCTGTCTGTCTGTCTGTCTGTCTGTCTGTCTGTCTGTCTGTCTATCTGTCTGTCTATCTATCTATCTATCTATCTATCTATCTATCTATTCCCCATTCCTCTCAGTAACAATGTAATGGTTATAGACATAACTATTTAACAGAGCTTGCATATGAGTGTTGGACTAGGACTCTGGGAGACCAGAGCTTGAATCCCTAACAGCCATGGAAACTCACTGGGTGCCTTTAAGCAAGCAATACTCCTTCAGTCTTAGAAGAAAAAGACAATGGTAAGCCTCATCTGAAGAAATCTTGAAGATAATGGAGCTGACTGGAAGATACATAACAAGAAGAAGCATTGGTATGGCAATAATGAAAATAGGTATAGAACAAAATGATATTTATAAGGTATTGAATGAACAGCTGGATGCAGTGTTTCTGCTGGAAATTCAGCCATACATCATGTGGTCCCTGGAGCAGGTCATTTGTTTGTTTAATCAATCAATTAATTAAAATATTTATACCCTGCTCTCTATCAAGAGCCCTTTTACTGTCACACCCATAAAATAAGCAAAGTTACCCCTAGGTCTGGGCAATATCTTGGAATATTGGCGGCCTAGATGTAGTTACAGAAATGAGTAGTTCAGATGGTTCTGTATCGGGATATGTCAACCCAGTGATTAGATCATAAATAGATATATATAGTGTGGTAATTCGGGAAGTTACTGGAATGTAGTGAGTGCGGGAAGCAACTCACCTTGGAAGGAGATGTGGATTGTCAGGAAAAGGTTAGAAAAAGGACAGAGGCATTGACAAATCAATAAACAAAGGAGATGCCACAAAGAACTGTGGCATTTGGATGGAATATGTTAGAGGATGAAATAATCTGCCGAGGGGTGGTTGCTCTTGGTAAGGTGTTGCCTCTGGTAGCAGTAAGTTGTAATGCAGGGAAGAGGAGCTTCTTGCCATTGAATCCAACTTGGTTCCAGTTCAGCGTGACGAAGATTCTCATGCAGGTAAGAGCAAAGCCAGCACTCTAATAAAAGGGCCTATTAGGGCTAAGGCCACACCATAACATCACACTCATGGGTGCCCCTAATCTGACATTTTAGATCAAAGAGGTGGAAATCTGGAGCTGAAAGCAAAACCAGTTTTTCACTTCTACTTTTATAGGTAAAGTGTGTGTTACAATTTTTATATTGTCTCATATCCCCCCCCCCCCCATGCTTTATAATTTGTTAAGAAGTGATAGTATCTTTGTTCATTTGTGGTGATGTTTTCTGTCAGTGAAATCTATAAAGTACAATATAAAATACAAAGCAGCAATACTATCTGGTTAATAGTGTGTGCAGTGGGCAGTGAGATAGATTCACCATACATTAAAGAGAAAGGAATGGCTAGACTTAACTGCTGTACCAGGACAGACTATTTAACTGTCTAGTCTAGATCCATATTACCTACTCTCACCGCTCACTTGAAGGATAATTAAATCAATACTCCAACTGGTGACAACACACTAGAGGTTCTTTCACACTAAACAGTTAGAGCACTGTCATTCTATTATAATGACCTTAGCTGCGTCCTATGGAATTCTGGAATTTCTGGTCTAGTGAGGCACCAGAATTTGAATTGTTCCCATCTAAAGTACAAATCCCACGATTACCCCAATTGCTTCATATAGATGTTGGACAGTAAGGGAGACAAGAGGGAAACATTTGGCATCTCATAGCTCAATCACTTTGGGGCTGATTATGAATCCTCTACCACTAGTCTCCAGAACTGGCTCCTCACAAAGTTGGCGGGCATCCTTTGTTTCCAATGTTGGAGGTGGAGAGAACCTGGGAACACATGGTGGATCCTAGAGCTGCCCCCAAGTAACCACCTGACATCCAAGAATCAATGGTATCTTGGTATTCATGGGAAACCAATTGGTTACCCTGGCAAGTTGGCAAGGGCATTTAAGAAGCCCCGGGGATAGGACCAGGGCAGATTTTTCTGGTGTTTCATCCTCCCCTCCTTTCCTTGTATAATTCTTCTGTTTTGTCACACCTTGAGTTGGGAAGTTGCATGGGTCTTGGATCAGGGATAAAATGTCACAGTGCAGGTGGCCACTGGTAAATATGGAGTTTCTATGGGGGGAACCTAAGGTGGGTGTGTGGTACTGATGGGTATTGCCCAGGTGGGGGTGGACACAGACAACACCAGGAACCCTGGGCCTGAGCCAGATCATGACTGGGTGCCTCAACAGATTGTCTCAGGCAGCCATGACTGTTAATCAGGATCCATCCGGTTATAAGGCAATGGTGGCTGGGAGATGGGCCAACTGAGCACAGAAACCAGACCCATTCAGGGTCAAACTTTGTCAGCGAAAACCAAATAAAGTTGTGGCATTTTCTTACCAAAAATATTGTGCCTTCATTTGTGTATATATGCGTGACCAGAAGCCAATATCCCACATACACCAAAGAAAAACAGAACTACTGTAAGGCTCCTCCCATCCGATGGTATATTACTGTACTGGCTGATCAGTTATATTGAAAGCTGCTGAAAAATCCAGGAAGATCCACAGGGCATTTTCTCTCATTTTCACTCAGTGTAGCCCATTTCAGCACTGATCCCTGGCCTGAAGTCAGGCTGAAATGGATCAAGATAATCTGTTTCCTCCTAGAATGGCTGCTGCAGTTGTCCAGTCACCACACTCTCAAACACCTTGGCCCAAAAGGGGATATTAGCAATTGGGAAGTACTGGTCACATGCCTCTGGGTCCAGAGAATCCCACTTCAGGTGAGGTTGCATCCAGTGCCACCTAGGACAGGAGGCACCTTCTGTAGATTCATGGCATGCACAGAAGTGAACTCCTCAGAAGTGACACAAATTTGCAATAATTATATTCAACAAAAGAGCACAATTAGTTCCTGTTAGCCACAATACTCCCAATGAAATCAATTAAACTATATGACTTAAAAGGGCTGATGTTTACCCTCCATGTTTACAATTTTCTAAACGAATTGTTACTGTTCTGCCTTTTACTGTATATTTTTCTACCAAGTAAGTTTTGTACTCAAATTGGGTTTTACATTGGGTCTTTTAGAAACATAAATTCCAGGTTAAGCAAATGCACTATATTCTTCACAAGCTGTCATTCTCTTCAAGGATGGAACAAATCTACTCACTCAGAACTATTTCCAATCATCACATTGCCAGTTACTTGCACATCACTGAGAAATGCAAGGTGGTATATACTCAAGCTTTTTGCTCTCCCTGGTCTTTTCAAAGCAATCAAATAAAATATTCTAATCTAGCCTGATTTTTTGTGGAGTATTAACATATTCATTAAAATAAGCCTAACACCTCTTAGTCAGAGCTGTCACATTGACTGTGCTTCTGTTGCCATAACAGATGTCCCGAAACCCATTTGGCAGGCCTGGAGGTTGATGGCTACAGAAAATAAATTCAATGCACCTGTCAAGATATGTAGCTTCTCAGAACACAAGTCATGGGCGGTAGACACCACTAGCATCTTGTTCAAAACGATACTTGATAGCTCAAATTACCATTAAAGAGACAGAACTGAAATTCTCACTTAAGATTCTGGATTCATTTGAAAAATGCAAACTATAGTTATTTTGGTGACTATTTTATTCTTGTGGTGGAATACTTAATAAGTAAGTAAAAGGTGACTTTCTAAAGCTACATTTATACTGGCCCCAGGGGCAGCCCATATGACATCTTCAACCAATGGTGGCAGCAGGTTGGGGTCCAGATGTCCAGCTGGGTTGAGAGAGCATATCAACTCCATTGGACTGTCACCTTACCATCCATGTCTTTGTTGTTCCTCCCAAATGGCCACAGAGAGAGCTCCTGGCTGTTGAGGGCTCTCTGTGCTGACATCATGAAGGTCTCTTCATAACAAGGGAGCTGACCCTAGAACTAATCAGCATAGCAAAGCCAGCATTTATACAACAATCTCCCTCCTTCTTTCTGGCCATGTAGGTGCCTGCAGATGTCAACATGTGCTGCCTGCAATGGCCAGGAGCTCTCATGGAGTCTGTAGCCATCTGGGAGGTGTGACTGCAGTGACACAGATCCAAAGTGTTCCACTTTCTCTGCACTGATGTGTACAGGGGGAAAGAGTATGGCAGTAGAGGATTGTGTGGAGTGGGCTGGTCCAAATAGTACCCAGTCCTGCTGTCCATGCTGTACCAAAGCTGAGGGGTTGCTTTGGGGTTTCAGGCAAACTCCAGAGCATCCCACAAGTTGACCCAGTTCACCCTGTAATAACCACCAGAAGTGGCAGAACATTATGGAGAGACAGAATCGACTATACAATGAATATTGTATAGTCGTTAATACAGACAACCCCCTAGTCATTTTTGAGAAATGAGAAAGAGTTACTTAAAAAGAATTCCTATACTGGTAGCTAGCCACCTTCTGGTACCTTGGACCTACAACTTAACGAATTGCTTTTTAAATGTACCTTCCAAACTCTGCCACAATGAGATAAACACCTATAAACGATTGTTAAAATTACTTTCTACAGAAGAATGTCAGGGAACTTCTTCCATGCAGACTCTAGTTCTTTCCAGACGATTTGCGCTGCAGAAGAAAAAAGAACAGGGACTCTTTTTGCACTATCACTCCTGAAATGCAAATTAGTTTCATGCACAAACTCTTGCATGTAATTTCACTTTGCTTGCAAAGTGTTTCAGGGCCCCCTGGTGACAAAGAGGGGCATAACAGGTAAAACAGTTTGTGTGTGCGTGTGCATAGGCCTTCAGGTTGCCCATGGACTTATAACCCTAGTAATTTCAGAGGTTTCTAAAACAAGGAATAATCAGATGTCGTTTTGCCAAGTCTCTGTTCTGAAAAACAGGGCCCTTTTACACTTCTCTAAGACTCAGGAGGAAGTGGGTTAAAATAACCTGCTTCCTCCCAGTTTTTGTCCCCATCCCCAACCCAAACCCCAGACTTTCCCCTGAGGTAAGGCTAGATGCCATCCTGGGTCAACTAAAGGTTGAG